AGGCCTGCGATGAGTTGGGCTTCAAACTGAAGCAATTACAAGGGTATTCTGCTCCTGCGCCGATGGCTTGTGTGAAACTATGCGCAGATACAAATCAACTGATGAACTTTACGCAGCCTTGCCCGGCTGCATTGGATGTATTGTTCGATCGGATAAGGTGAATACTGACTTCTTTGACCATGCATCGGTGAGCCCACTGCAGTCTCGTACATCGAGTACGTGGTGCCAATTTAGGACCTACAAGTGGTCGTCAGAGCGGGCGCTGGCTACGATAATATTGACTTGAATGAAGCTACCAAGAGAGGTCTTAGACATCATGGACATTTGTAAGGATATCTCATCGGCTAGGTATCTGTGTTATGAACACCCCGGGCCAGAATGCTCACGCTGTCGCCGAGCTTGTCTTTGGCCTTCTACTCTATCACGCGAGGCGACGCTTCAGTGGATCCTCCGGGTTCGAGCTGAAGTAAGATGAGGTGTTGGTGTGAGAGGCTCCGTTATTGTATCGTCAGAGGAAGAACCATTGGTTTGTATGGGTGTGGACGTATCGCGGTGAATGTTGCAGAGATTGCTCGGGGATTCCACATGACGTAGGTCTGTCGATGCCTTTGACTTGATACTCATGCTCCTGTGGCAGCTGTTATGGCTATTCTCGCTCTGGGTGCTGCAAGGATGAGCAGTGCACTATGCTCAGCTCGCCAGTCGAGCTTTTCCAGCGCTGTGATATTATAAGTCTTCATATGCCCTCAAACGCACAGTCTAAGGCAAGTTGAATCGAAGCCAATATTCCTACTGCGCTCCCATTTCCAAGTATCGTCGCTATGTACTCATTTATCGATATCTTAGGGCTGTATTGATCGAGAGAAACTCTCAGCTTTGAAGGAGGGCGCGATTCTGGTAAATACGGCTAGACAGGAGGTGAGCAGTGGAACGATGCATTCTCATTCCCATATCGATCGTGCTGACTACGGTGGAAATTATGGTATGATTTAGTCGCTTAAGTCAATCGTGTTATTCAGAAGAGGGCCACAGAGACAGAATCACTTCGCTGTAGCTAATACTTTGACAGCAGCGTCATGATGTTAGGTTATAGACGAAGACGCTCTTCTTGATGTTCTAACGGCTAGACCAGATCTTACGTATATCGCCGACATCAAGCCGTCTAACTTGGATCAGATCCAGGGGGCCCTTGGCGAAACACGATTCACCCAACAAGTAATTCCCTTGGTGGGATAGTAGGCTTGATGTGACCATCATTCCTTCTAGGTTGTCGTGACGCCTGTAAAGATGGGCGCTCAAACTCTCGAAGCCAATATCAACGCTGCTGTCGCCGGTGTCCAAGAAATAGCACGTTTATTATTTGAGGGAGACACTACTTACCAAGTCAACAAGACATTTTGAGCACCTTCAGAATGTATCTATTCATAGTCTTCTCTGTTACTTGTGATACCATAGTCAATCATGATACCTTGCTCTACTGTGCTCGGCAGTGTAATGGAGATCTGTTGCTGATTTTGTTGCATTCTTCGCCAAGCATCGCTACAGGAGCGCTGCGTTACCGAAATCTCGCTTTGAGTTCCTAATCAATCCGGATTGATTATCAATCCAACAGTCGTCTACGGATGTTGGTTAGGACAAAGTCGGCTGTGTGAGTAGAGAACATCCTCACTTCGACGTACCATAAATTCAATATATTCAACTGCTCAATTCGGAAGTACATCAGTTCCTCCGAAAGGTAGCAATTGATATTAATTCCTGAGTAATATCATACGCTATGTCGCTCGCACTGGCTGCTTACATTTTGAAGCGTTTCTGCGCGCATGTAACCGTTTCATCACAGAAGCGAAGAATGCTCTCCATCGAGCATCAGTGAATGAGTATTTGCAGGTGGTATCATTAACTGGCTTAGTTCCGGTTTTATATTTTTGTGCCCATCCCATGTTCAGCAAATTGACGTCCTTCATTTCTGCATCACTCCGGTCTCTGGTATTGTCAGAACGAGAGGCTGTTGAAGGCCATGTCCAAGCGGTTCGGCCTTCTAAGCGACCTCATGGAGTAGTGGTGTACACGCATAGATGCGACTTTATGATTTGGCTCAACGATAGGCTCGTGGAGATCGTCCTTCAACGAAGAAGGCCAGACGAGAGTCGCAGGTGAGTTATAGGGGATCAAAGAAGACCCAAGTTGTACATCATTCTCCGAGTGCAGTCCTAACTGAAAGTGAGCTGAGTGGTCGTCGTAGAAGTATGATGGACTGCCCTTTTTTCGTTTCCAGTTCCCGTGTCGCCACCGATGCAGCACATGTCGGACTCGCAGCGAAGAGCGTATCGGGCAGGCGAACTTGTCGTTAAGGAGGAGCTCGAAGACGACATTAAAATCTCCTCCCCTAAACCAAGGAGACGTCTTTCGTCATCGAGCCGCCATAGGTCGAGCTCTCACGGTAAGCTACGTGTATATGCTTCGGCATCATGTTCGTATGCCTCGATGATTTCTGTGAAGCTTGGAGCTTTGCTCTGTTCTCAGGAAGCCACGTCCAGGCTCTCCACCGAGCGCAAGAGGGCGGATTTACCAGAAGTGGCCGGAGAGTTAACCGTCCGAAGTTCTTCTCTCCTGGTGGAGAAATGGTCCCTAGTGACACTAACAAATATGTTATTCTCCTTTCCGACTCGGAGAGTGACTAAACTATAATGGACTCGAGGCATACTCAGAGTTGCTGAATTTGCATGAGAGAGCTGATAATTATTTTGCAAGGCCCATGATCTATAATTGGGAATTTTTCCTGTCCATTCTACTTGTGTATGAGTGGGGAAAACGTGTCGGAAAAAGTGCGACGGTGCAGCCATTATCGTATTACTACCGCGCCTGGCTGAGTCCAGTCCACACAGGGTGAACAAAAAGTTATCACCATAGACTCGTAACTTCATGGATAAGAGGTGCTTCAAAATATAATAAGATGTAGACTCGTCACCATTGAGCATACTTAAGGACGCCCCCTTCCCTCCCCTGCCAGCTCCGTCAAGCCTTTCATTGGTACGACCACTACCCCGTGACACTTTTCCCAATTTTTAGGAAGGTAATATATTTAACGCGTTTCATCTCTTTCAACAATTTCTGCTATCATCAGCAGCATGCTAGGCTCATTACACGCGTTTGGCGCATGGATACGGAAAACATACCGCACTTGACACGATACTTTAGCTCGGAAAAATGGTATATCGTGTGTCACACGTTTCTACGGACTGACGACTGGCCATTCCTGAAGATGAGTCGCAAGTTCTCAGCTCTCATGGAACCCTTAGTTCCATAAACGGGCATAATTGATATCTTCAGCGTTCAATCCCCGAACATGTTCTCAGGCGCTGATGAAAGGAAGACAGTATGAATGATACTCGGAGGCCCACAGCTAGAAGATTCCTCTACAAATCTTGTCAGCTATGCCTTGTCAATGTACGTGATATCTCGTCTTCTACAGTTGCACTATCCGAATACTCATACTGATTCTACTGATGCCTTGCAGGCTGTTGTTGTTGGTGCATGGGGATTCCCGTCATCATCACAGAGCGAGAATGGGCGCCCACGCTGTGATTGTTGTGGAGCTTTTGTCACGGGCCCTACTCCAATCGATTTCAATACTGTTACCTTCTGTGAGTTGACAACGCAACAGTTGCTATCTATTCAAGAAAGCTCGTATCGCATAGACGACAGGAGCCGAGTCCACCATCGCTATGACTACTGTATCGATACGCTACTGGCATCACAATAAACACTAGTAATGTTTCCAGCTCCGAGAAAAATAATGAGTCCGAAATCGGGCTGTCGGATGATCCAAAACATGCAGTAGGACTACTACTACCAAACGATAGACGGGAACGACTAGAGTACACGACGATTGAACTGTAGGTTGAGGGAACGAATAGACACTCAGTCGATTGAATAGATTCATAGTTCGGCTGCTGAAAGACACCGACGAGGGCAACAGCCATCATCATCTTAATGAGCAACGATAGTGAGTGAGACGACAGTTCAATGCTAGAGACAAGGGGAAAATACAGGTAGATACCTCTACCTCCTGACAGCGCAAACAACTGTCGACAATGATCGAGCTATCCTCAGACAGGCCGCTGGGGTTGGTCAAGAGCCCCTCAAATTGATGACCGGAATCACTTCATCAACCCAGCATACTGGAGAGTATAACGGAGCCCAATAGAATCATCGAATAGGATAACGAAGTCACTATGCATCATGGGAGACAGTGTCCACATAGAAGGCAGGGGAGTTAGAAAATAAACAGGTTAAATAGACAGTCGCCGGTGCTAAGAGGACCGAGCGTTATATATGAGGATAGTATAGGTGTAATAGTTGTATTATGAGTAGCAGGAGAATCCTAGGTGTACAGAGAGAGATAGCTGCTCATATTATTCTATCTTTCCGCCAAAAAAGAAAATGATCTACACACAAATAGTAGAAATATGTAACACAAGCAAACCACATCACCATCATCCGTCATAATCATCGCTACCCTGCTTCCACCAAAGCGGGGAGCAAATACTACAGCAACACGGGTCTAATAATAATGGTGACGGGTCTAAAATTATTTTGAACCAAAAGCTGGATACGACTACGAATAGAAGTCAACTCGAGTGCAGAGTCCTGCCACTGGAGAGTAGGACCATAACTGTCGTGGGCTTGATAGTAGTAGCTAGTAGTCGCAGCAGCGATCAGAAGAGAAGAAGATTCTAATTTGGGAGCCTGTTGCTACTACTGAGTGAAAACGAATGCACTGTATTTGTATTCTATGTAACAAGCTACCGCTTGAGTGTAAGAGCGTTAGCACTCCGATATCGGAGATGATGGTGACAACCAACTAGAATGGACCACGCTCGGGTGACTCGGAAGAAGCAACAGGAACCACAGCAGTCTGCTGCCAACCTGAAGCAATGCACCATAACAACCACAGAGACGACTGTGTACTCACCAGCACATTCAGTCGAGATGGGGCAATTGGATTCGCCGGCAACAGGAAAGAACTGTTGATTGGATGTATGACAAGGTTGCCCTTGGATTCCCTGAACCAACAAAATGTATATCGTCGATTATACTGAGGCCAAAGATACTACGTCATTGTTGCTGGGGCTTGTCCCCTTTAGGGAGCTGTTATTGCTGTTCATGTACTTATCAAATAACATGGAGGTCCTCGCATACAGCTGCTGACCCGTCGAGTGCAGCTTCTCCGTCATTATAGGAGCCCATCTGAACGATATCATATCACGATAAAAATACACCCTCCAATGCAGACTCACGCTCGGCACTCATGTAAATGAGCCTCAACGTCCTTTAGACAGGCGGAGACCTCCTCATACGCCGCACTAGCCTACAGAGAGCAGCACTGTGAGCAGCAAGAATCATCTATGGCTTACTGGAGGTAAGGCACTCAAAAAATGGTGAAGTATACTCCTCATATTATCTGAAATCGATCATAGGTTCTCTACAGTCACCTAGTGGTCGTACCAACAAAAGTGAGGTGGTTGTCCATGGCGAGGACATCTCCTCCTGTGAGCAGGCCGATATCACGAGCCGTCTGCAGGCTGCTGCTGGATGCTTGCTCGCCACTGCCAGGCCTAGTAGTTGCGGAAGCTTTTTCTTGTGGTGCTGGCGGTGGGGGCGTAGCAGGAGCACATGAACTGATCAACAAAAAGGATCTAAACCAGAACCAGACTTTCAATTTTCGTCTTATTCCCAAGATTTCGTTTAGATCGGGCCATGAGACCACTATCATATCTGGATGCTGGGTAGCGCATGTCCCATAATTCCATCACAGAAAGTCAGTCATCATTTCAATGATGCGCACAGCCGAATATTTGCCATACATTCAACACGAATGAATCCCTGACATTCATCCACTACTACATGGCACTAGCTGCAGCTGCAATAGCAGAAAGGTCGAGGCCTTGGACGAACGGCTGGGCCTGCTAACAGACGACTGATGATGACCAACAAGGGCCCCTACTCCTTCTTACCGCCGTGCCATGAGCATTCACGTCTGACACTCCTCGTTTGGATGTAAGGTTCGCTGCTACTGCGGCCAAGGCAGCCAACTCTAGGTTACTGGGACACACCTGCACATGAAACGCTCTCGCAACAGCAGTTGTATACAAGACTACTACCGCTCCCGATGCGGCGGGCCTCATCGTAGCCTGAGCTGTAGCGGGAACCTGTGTCAGACAGATCACCTCACAATCCACCAAGCTGGCCCCGTACCGCTTCACCAGCACTCTCATGTGGACATGTGCTCACCGTAGCTCCCGCTGGTCGCGGATTCCATGCCGAGTTTTCATCAACCCTTTCTGAAGATCCTAATACAGTGAAAATGACGGGCTATCTGATAGATCTACCCAACCTGTGTGCTTTGATAGGTTCTGTGTCCCTTGGGCTACAGTCAGTGACCGAAGAAGCTCTTCTATTGCAAGTTGCTCCTTTGCTTGATTAGCGCTGTTATTATTGCCTAACAACCATGAGTATGAATTCACGGTCAACTACTAGCCACTAACTACTCTCCTGTTGTTGTACCAATCCTTGTGATTGCGACAGTCTCGACTGAACCACTCGACCTGGGTCCTGAAACGGACAGACATAATGCCAGACCCGTCACATACTGTCTATACCTGTTGGTCCTGCAGACGGCGGTCTAAATCCTGGAAGTACTTCTGAGCATGAGACCTCACTTGCTTGTTGGTTCGAGTAGGTATGTTGCTCGTAATCTATGACCAACACTCCTGCACTACGAGGACCAACCCTCCTACAATAGTCCAATCACGGCCGTGGTCCCTGAGGCCCTCCAAGAAGACCAAATGCTCTTCGGCTGAACAGCAGACTAGTCAGAAAAGTTTCGACAGACCCGTACACCCACACTTACAACTCCAACGCCCATGCTTGCAGGGCTTAGGTAGCGGCTGCGTGGTCCTGGACAGATACGGGTTACCAAGTATACCACTACCACTACCGCCACACTGAGGAAGAACATGATGACGCGCGGGTGGAGTAGATAGTACCCCTGTAGGATTGAGGAGCTGTAATGCACCTAGCGTGGGGTGGGTTATGTCAGTATCTACGGTGAGTATGGACAACCACGACGCAGCTTGGGTAGTAGTACAGTCCGCAGTAAGGAGTGGTAGAGTTGATGTGGCAGAGGATGACAGGGGTTCTGAGATACACACAAGTTCTCCACATAATGATAGCAGGATGGGTACACGGTCACCTGTGGTGATGTCGGATTGGTCATTATTGCACTGCTGCGCCAAAGAGAGGCCTCTCAACGGTAGACGCCGACGCTCCACCAACCTCTTCACCACAACAATATCCTCCTTGATGCATTGCAAGTACCTATCACATGAATCGGATGAGAATCCTCCGCTGTGCGCCAAGATATTCTTCCAATATCTTTGCGCATCCAAGGTAACGGCAGTTGAGAGAAACAGTAAGATTCCCACCATGCGGATAGCGGCTTCTTCGACGATTTCGTCACATCCCCGACTTGAGCTGGTGAATGTGAGCTGCTGTAAGCTGTAAGGAGCTGGAGGGTAGTCCCGGGGCCTTCGGGGAGGGCTCTCACTGGGCTAGAGGCCGAAGTCGTCTGCTCACTGCTAAGCCGGGGTCGCTTAAACGCCAAGCCTTCGCCCTCATATGAAGGTTGAACAGCGGGTTGCTGGGATGTGTATAGCGGAAAACATTCCGATAGCGACGATGACGACGATGAAGAATATGACGATGTCGGTTGTTGTTGTTGTTGGGTAGTGCTAAATGTTGTTAACATAGAGCCGTATTGGTGAAAAAAATCAGTGCCACCTTAGAGGAACTTCTGTCGAATTCGTCCCCACCCTCGCGGCAACTCGACACGCCAAACACTAGAGCTATTCATCTCATAGAAAAGGCCCATGCATGTCGCATGCTCATCACTCGTGTCCTCTCCTTCCTTGCACCCCCAACACTGCCGTCTCCTTCATCAATCCCCTCGTAACCTCCAGGGGTACTATCTTCAAAATGATGCATTTTCCATCGCACCATCTGAACACATTTCGGGCCTGACGCCAGCCCATTGCCACGTCCTCCAGTGTCACCGGATGTCGAGGTAGAACCTTCTCCTTCACACCATGCTCTATGCATCTCCTCACATGCACTGCAGCATACCGGCAAGTGCCCCTCTTATCATTCTCGCATACATCGTCGTCTTCCGAGGCCCCACACCTTCCTGCCTCACCGGCCCTGCATTCTGCGCCGACGGACCGATACAACTCGAAGCCACCGTATCTGCTCAGATAAGCCAACTACTGTCCTCGGCACTCCGCATGAACGACCTGCACTCAGCATTGGTTGCCTCTTCTGTACTCTTCTCGCATAAAGTCTGGTACCCCTTCAAAACCCCAAACAACGTGGTGGCTGATGACCGCACAAACGTCACTAAGCTTTGGAGCTTTGGTGATCTTTCTCGCGAACAACCCAGGTTCGATCCCCGCGAGCTGCAATTCTCTGTTAAAAATCTATACTGTCCAATATACCATTATCCATTCCATCAGTGAGACCCAGTTGCTCCCCACCGCCCCGTCCCCCAGCGACCTACTTTAGTATCCTCAGGATCAACAGACACCAGACTCAACGCCAGCACGCATATGGCAAAAGCTGATGCACATGAGCATTGATCTGAGAACAGTGAGTGCAATCCTATATACGAGCCTTCGACTTACCCTAGCAGCTACCACACTTCCCAGTATGTACACATTCCTCATGCAATTATAACGACATCTCCGTCCAACGGAATGGTCCTACATGTGTACACTCCGCATTGGTCTGTCGAGATAGCCTCCAACAATTCCATCTATCGCTAGTTGAAGAGCTGCCGCCCGAAGTGACAGACAAGCCGCAATAGACACTGTTCCCAAGCCGAGAGCACTGAAAACAACACGACATCTGCAAAGACCCACGACCATCCCATAACCATTGGTTAGTAGTGTATCACTACTACCTCGCCATAACGTCATCCCTTTTTGGAACCTCATCGATCCTGCATCAGCGACTTCATTCACTCGGCCGCCGACCTTCTCCCGCTATCCTCCATCACAACAACCTCAGCGTGATCCAATGGTAATCTCCCCCTCACTAAGCCTGTACTACCCTCTCAACATTCCCGTGCCTTGATCGGAGCCACCACATTCGCTTCGTCAGATATCCGACATACGGTTATCATACAAATGTATAATAGCTGAGTAGGGGGCAGATGAAAGACCTTCCTTATCATCATCATAAAATAAGCTGAGCAGTGCTTATATCTTGCCTACTTGTTGCCTCTTGCGTTTCCTCAACGACCTCCTCCGGACCGTACTAATCATGCGTTGTTCCTGATAACTTCCTAGCCGAAGGGATATCTTGGCAGGACCAGCTGAGCCATCACTCTCCAATCTATGCTCAATTGAGGCGGACGTCTTGCGAGACCTCCCCGTGATGGCTCGGCTGCGTGGCTCCGATTGACGGCCTGTGTTGGGCAGTAGGAGGAGGGGTTGTTGGATATCGGAGCGATATCGCTCTCAGAGGCTGCTCTCCTTCACACTGGAATTCGATGCTGCAAATTATCGAGTAAAATTTGGCATCCGCGCGGGCTGAGTCGCATTCGGAACTACGTTGGTTCGATTCGTCTATGCCTGGCGGATGCTATGGGCCAGCCATGGCTCCCATAAGACTCTGTATATCATAAAGACTGACCCCATGGAACTGCAACCCCAACTTGTCTCTGCTCACGTCACTGAGATTAAGTGGGAGAACACACATATGGCATCATCTACATATGTTGGTGATGGTATGGAAATGATGGGGGAGCTTTGGGCAATTCTCATTGATTCCTGTATCCCGAATTCGTACGTGAACTTGTACAGCTCAGCTGAGGATAGCCAACATACACTCTAAGACTAAACTAAGTGCACCAACTGTGAGATCCCAGTTTCCCCCTTCGGAACGTGATCGCCGAGAGGGTCGACCACGTGAGAACGGCCGTGGAGGACTAAATTTCCTTTTGTCAGATTGCGCACCTCCCGAGGCTCCCATCGGCGTGAGATGAATTTTCAGCCCATTTTTTGAACATCATCGAATCGAGCGTGAAATCAGAGGGGTTCTTATCAGGGAACTTTCAGCCGTAACGACGTGGTGGGGCCTCCAATAACTTTGCTTCGTGGACGAATAAGTAAAATCCCATAATCGACAGATTTGATCGTCGTGGTGTAACTGATAGGCCTACGAAGTTTCAGCTTCTCCTTCTTCAAGGGTTTAAACTTGTTGACGAAATTTTGGAACTCTCTTTATGGAATCTTTATCACTACCATTCGCCCCAGTGAAGAGCTACCCGTATCATGGGGCACCCGGAGAGACAAACTGGCAGCACGCAAAAACAAGAAGGCTGGGCTATTTCACATCCTTCTGTCTGATTTCCATTAGTCTGATTCAGGTATAGGTGCATCTAGGCTGCGAGTTTGCATCCACCGGATCCTAATAAGATGCCCATCAAGAAGTCTTCATGGTAGCCCCTTGGCTGCCCGAGTCCCCGTGGGCCGAGGAGCGTGCCCCAGCAGCGCATATTTTTCACTCGATATGATTGTCGTGGCAAGGCCTAGGAGTCGACCTTGAAGTTTTGGAGGGCGGGAGGTAGCCCCTGTCTTTATCGCTTAAGGTGGTATGTGAGCCTTACGAGATTGGGAAGCGACCGGTTATGAATCGGTAGCTCGTGCTAGCGCATGCGTGTTAATTCTTCCTGTACCTTCGCATACCTCTTGTGTTGAGTTCTGATAACGGGAAACGGGAAGAGGTCCTCTTAGGCAATAGATCATGAGCGCTGACTCCTCATATGGGGGGTGTGCATGCTAATGGCTCCTCGTTGGGGTATGGCGGCTACTTCCTAGTGGGTTCCACACGTGTGCGCGTTGAGTGACGTGCAGATTTCAACAAATTTTGGTACTCTTTCTGACGGCTTTACTAAGCCTAGATGTCGTGGAATCATATTGTCCTGTAGTGATTCTTGTCCCCTCAGCGAGCAATGGTAAGAGCATCCCCGAAAAAGGTACCCAACCCTCATCCAACCTACAACGAGATGGTAAGGAACGCCCTTTCGACTTGTAGGGGATTTCAGAAGATGAGCCGCCAAGCCGTCGCCGCTTTCATCAAGTCCAATTATGGTGTTGACAACAGAACCGCGCTGAATAAGTCCCTCAAGGCCCTTGTGGAGACCGGTACCGTGTCCCAGGCAAAGGCATCTTACAAGTTGGCGGCTGGTCAAAGGCCGACGGTGACTGCTCCAAGCAAGCCCACTAAGGCGCCTTCGAAGCCTAGCAAGGCCCCTACCAAGAAGGCGTCCTCTCCCGCTAAGAAAAAAGCCGGTGCTAAGGCTTCTTCTGCCACCACTAAGAAGACATCACCCAAGAAGACCTCCACTAAAGGGAAGAAGGCACCCCCAACGAAGAAGACTGTAGCTAAGAAGACCTCTGGAAAGAAGAGCCCTGCTGCTGCCAGGAAGAAGAAATCTCCGGTCAAGAGGGGAGGCGGTAGATCGGGCAGGTCGTAAATGCCGCATGTACTCCCCTATGCAGATGATAGTATGTCATAATGCTTTTTGATAGTATCATTATCATATTTCCATATTTACCTCTATTATCACCCAATGTAAACTGGTATAGTAGTCAATGGCGAGCCAAGAACAACATGAAGTAGTCTTTGCATTATTATCCATAGAGCCTCAATGAGGCAACCTGCTGCTGCTCCTACCACCATCACTTCAACGATTTGTCGTATCAACTCCTTATAGTCTTGTGTTAGTCAGTTGGTTAGATGAGGGAGTATCAGCATCATCTGAGGACCTAATTAGTTGCTGGTTGAGCGTGGCGGCAAGCTCTTCCTCTCTACTTGTGTGCATGCGTGCAAAACTGAATTCTGTTCTTTTATACCCACTTCCCCATATCGATAACTACACAACAGTCTGACATGGTTCTATAAAAGTTTTATCAATAACTTCATCATCGATATTCTAATCTACTGCTGCAGAATACTCAATATGTCGATGGTACTCTGCCCTTCTTAGCGTCACGTACTAAGGGACTTCAAACGCACCACGAGAAGAGTACTCTTACAACACTTCGTTAAATAGATGTAGCATTATGAAAAACAAAAGGTACAACACTATGCCCCCTAGGGCCCTTGGGTACTCACAACTAGTCACCATAGAATCGTCTCTCACCGGACAGGTCTACGAGCGCTCGCCCCGAATTCTTCTGGCCAACTGCATGTCCTTGGGCATGATGGTAACACGCTTAGCATGAATAGCACACAGATTGGTGTCCTCGAAGAGGCCCACCAGATAGGCCTCAGCCGCCTCCTGTAGGGCCATCACAGCACTGGTCTGAAACCTCAAGTCGGTCTTGAAGTCTTGGGCCACCTCTCTAACAAGGCGCTGGAAGGGCAACTTGCGGATGAGTAAATCAGTACTCTTCTGATAGCGTCTGATCTCCCTAAGAGCCACAGTGCCAGGCCTGTAGCGATGGGGCTTCTTGATACCACCGGTGCTAGGGGTGGACTTTCTAGCGGCCTTGGAGGCTAACTGCTTACGAGGCGCCTTGCCACCTGTGGACTTGCGTGCAGTCTGCTTGGTCCTTGCCATTGATACGGAGGATTTTAATAGCCTGAAAATTACCCACATACCACACCATGAACACATCATCCCTAGGAGACGTTACGAGACTCTTCAACATACGCCTAGCACTGAGATCTACCGAGGAGGGCAGTCAATGCTATAACACACACGAACTGAGCCCCGTAGAATGCGCAATCTTACCACAGACTGGACTAGAAATTAGCTATAAAAACAGCCAAGTCACTCAACAACTACACAGAGCCCTTGAAACTTGCAGCATTGAATTGAGGTCACTAACCGACATGATATCATTCAAGTACCACCGGCGTCACCACCACCACACACTCTCTGTCTCTTCGATGGTGGGATGTCCTGCCCGACTGACTGGGAAACCGTTTTGGCATCGGTTTGACTAGATTGGGCCTAATTCGATCGAATAACGGGGCGCAGCTCTCTTGCGGCGACAGCCATGCACGCAGCCACACACCTCAGTAATGCCGATTGGATACGGGTTAATCCTCCCTTCCAGCAACAACTCGCCGTAGTGGATCCGATCTCTGGCAGAATGATCATCCGCCTCCTGATCGTCTCCTGCCGCCTCGCCACAGGCTGCTTCCACATTAACGACTTTCCAGCATTGACCAGCATCGTCCCACTCCTGCACTTGTCCTTGGACGAATATTCTCTTCAACAATTCATCACGGAGTTCATCTACTTCATCCGAACTCGGTACCTGCCAGCAGAAACTGTCTTCCAACATTAAGTGGGGTTGGACTGACAGTGAGCCGCCTGTCGAACATCCCACCACCACTAGCTGCCGCTGTGAGGTCTATCTCGAATATATCCATCCACACCCTCCTCAGTACCTACACAGTCTCGGACACTCATATTATAACATCAGGCCTCTTGTGGGTCATTTGGTGGACCGTAGGGTGATTCAATCCCACTAGGCCCAAGTTGGTCGCAACAACGTCCTGTTCACCTCGGCATCCACAAAGCAGCACGCAAGCGCATGGATGTCACAAGGAGGTTCATCTTGAGTAAGCAAGGCTCGTATGCCTTCAACGTGGACCTGAACCATTGACATAACTCGAGTGACGGAAGGGCACCCACCCCGCCGACGACCGCGAGGACAGTATCCCCTTCACTGAACTGTCGCGAAAGAGCAGCGATCTTGTAGGCCATGAAGACATCTCGGAGGAAGATATGCGACAAGAAGTACCTAGGAGCAGCAGCCGGTCAGGACACCACCACTACTGAGTAGCTTCACTTAGGTCTGAAAAGACGGTGGAGTTCACCCAAGAGGAAGTCGGCGTGTGGGGGTGATCGATGCTCTAATTCAGCCAATCTGGGGCATGGTGATGAGCTCGTACCAATCACGAGTAAAAGCCAACCTGTAAGCCACTGTAGAGTCCAACTGGTCTACGCCATATTCTGAGACAGCCTCCTGGCCGTAGACCAACCTCAGGTAAGTATCGAACACAGTCTGATTTCAAAGAAGAACCCCTCTAAGAATGAACCACCTTAGGCCACCTCTTCATCTGATACCATCTTCAGCAAGCTTTCAGGCAGATCCCCGATCCTCCGTACCGTATCCCTACCGATCGAATCACCGTTACAGTGGACGAGCTTCCCATTCCTCCCTACTTCGCCATCTCCAATTCCCTATTCTGTATGAGCTTGAGCGTCTCCAACATATCAATTGAGTGCAGCGGCAACCCTCTTCGTTTTGTCTAGTAGAGACCACCCAGGTACACCGTCGATGGCCAACCGAATGCCCACCTCGTATATTGCAGTGAGCTCAGGCATCCCACCAACCGAGCCACAAGCCGCTAAGAACTGTGCCGTTTCCGCATTGCCGGACACATTCACAAGGCGAGCGTTGACCAGCTGAGGAGAGCTGCGGCCTCAGGACACAGCCAGATCACCTCATCGAAGGTGGAGCCTTGTCCTCCTTGATCCTTCAAGTCGGTCAGCTCAGCCCAGCTCCCCTTGAATCTACATACTCACACTAATAGCGATGCTCCAGATGCCCATACAGGACTTCTCCAGCAGAGGCAGTTGAAACTTCCTCCGGGCCTCGGTACGGGCCAGGTCACTCTCCAAGGCTACACATTTCACACACAGTTGCTCGATGGCCTTCTGCAGGTTCAAAGCGGAGGCTTCCGAGGAATGTACAACACCCAAGATGTGCACCTACGTACACCACCCCAATGGAAGCGGGAATACCCTCATTTGAATGTACTTTAACACCGTTGTTAAGGGCGATTGGCTCCTGAATACAATATTCCAGCTGAGGGGACTTGGAGCCTTTCGAGAACCTCTGTTGTAGCTCCTCCACTCTCGTCCAGTCGATACACTGCCATGCCCACGAAGTGGACTCAGATCAACCCCAAGCATGGCTTACACTGGTCTCCACATCTCCCAGTATTTCCTCAACTGCTGCCTTCATCATACCCATCTCCGACTTCTTCCCATTGCTCTTAGATGATCGCAGATACTCTGGGCAGCTCCCAGCTAGTCTGCACAGGATACTGGGCAACTCTAAAGGCTTCACCTATATTATTAAACCTGCTTTGGCTAAGGACGCGAGCACTCACCACTTCAGCTGGCGTCTTTGCTTTCTCTCGGAGGCTCATTAGATGAACTCCTATGCTGCCTTCAGAACTACGCCATTGCTGTTACCAACACAAAATCGTTCTATTACGACTAGATATAATATCAATGTTAGTAAACGATACACTCAATGATGATGGTACTCCTAACGTCATTCACTACTGCTATGCACTATCCTCTCCGCAGCCTCCTGGCTCACTCGCCGATTGTGCTCACACATATTGACGTACTTCGTTTTAGCGCGCGCCCTGACGTGGAACATAGAACTCTGCCACAATGAGCCGTCCTGACGTCACCTGAAGGCCTCTACAGGGTCCGAAATGTTAAAGTCCGACACCGGAACGGGGGCATCCGAGAAATTGGATCGACGTGGGATTTTCGCAGGTGGGGTATCCTCCCGGCTCCTCGAGCTGGACCTAATCGAACAAGCATCTCCACTGACGGCCAGACACGATTAGACTCACCTCGATGCCGACCTCGACTGGCCTCTCGAAGGGCTACTGCTTCGTGATGATACCGACTCTGTGATAACGGTACTAGAAGCAGTGACCGACAAGGTTTCAGCTTACCCGTGTCGCCGTCATCATCCTTCAATGGTATGAGGGACTCAATGAGCGCAACTGCCCTCTCCGACGGCCGAGGCTCTGCTGCTAGATACTGCGGCACCATCGCCAACACTACTGGGTCTAGGGGTGTATACGGTACAACGGCAACCTGAGGAGAGGAAATCCTCCTCAAATACGCCGCACTCAACCATCTACCTGTTGTTCCCTTGCCCGCCGTCCTGAGGCCTTTACGAGGGATGCCAGGACTCCTACTGATACATTTTCGGCAGTAGCTGGCCTGAAGGAAGCTTATCGCCCACACCTGTATACAAAGTCCTTACCGATCAGAGTAATACCCTTGGAGAGGTGGAGGAGGCTTGGGCTTAGCCTTGGCCGCCGCTGCTGCTGCCGCTGCTGCCGCTTTCGGGTCGGACTTCTCTGAGGGTCTACACCAAAGCAGTGACGAGCATGAGAACCGCTATGTAATACGTTCTATAGTGATGATGATGCCTCTGGCTGACATCCTTAGGCTCCCGACCATGGCTTAGACCTCCATAGATCATCGAAGGGAGCAACAATGGTGGCTCTGGCGGTGGCTTGGCACTGACAACGACCGAATGAGAAAACGATACAATCAACTACATCCTATTAAAAGGTGGGATTATAAGGAATAAGGAATGTCTCCCGGTCCGAGCAGCAGCAGCAGCAGACTACAATGCATGTTCCTCCGTAGCGAGCCTCTCAAAGTCTCTAGCTTCACCGACGTCAATGACACCCTGGTCCTTCCATATTTGGATCAGCCGAGTCACGTTCTTCTGCTGTGGAGTGAGGTCGTGCTGAGAGAAGATCTGCCGTTGTCCATCCCAGGATCTATGTCTAGCTACCCCAGGCTTCCGAGAGTTTCTATTATAACAAGCACCATAGGCAGCCCGGCACATCCACGGCAAGTAGTTCTTTAATAGCACCCGTACCACTACCCCTTGAGGACCGCTCGTTCGCTGCAGTACCTACAATGACCATAAGCATTAGTCCAGGTGCTTGCCAAGACCTACCTCATGGATAACAAAGAGCATACTCATAGCATGGTGGCCATCCTTAGGCGTCCGCATCGACCGTAGCAATGACCTGTAGTATTATCATAGAGATCACCTCACTGGACTCAGCAGGGTCTTACGAAGCAATGGCACTGGTCTGCTGGCGGTTCTCTAGTAGCCATGCCGCCGCATCTTTAATCGAGTCATCGCTAGCCGGCACCTAAAGCGGGTTATACCACACCTCGTCGAACTCATTGATCCAACACCCACCCCGCCTGCTAATGACACTATAATTGCTCCATAACGAGCAGCTAGCTGAGGGCTCAGGCTCGCTGTCGTTTCCGGTAGGTGATATTTGTCCGCCACGGCCTACGACCAAAGCCTCGACAATCCCAGATCCCATCAGCGGCCGCTCACCTGCAACTCATTTGAGAATTTCTCATCCACGGGCACGGGGGGTGGTAGAGTGGGTTGTTGCTGGCGTGGAGGAAGCGAAGGAGGTGGCACGTACCCTCCCTGAGGCCCGCCGAAGGGCATTTGAGGGGGCACATGTGTGAAGGGCAGTGGCGGCACCGGCGGCGGTTGAGGTTGAGGGATATACGGCATTGACGGGACCTGTGGAGGACTGAGGAAGCACGGCTAAATGTCAGAATAAAGCATGCTCTGAAGACCCTCTTACAATTGCTGATGCAGTGGTGGGGGCATGAATGGACTCGCTGGGTCCTGCTGAGGCCGCCAAGGCATAGGCTGCTGAGGCGGTTCTGATGGTGATCACACTGGAAAAAGGCGGAGCGGAGGTGAGCTAACATTACGAGCATGCCCTGGAGGTGGAAAGAATGCTTGCCCAGGAGGCGGACTGCCTTCATCGCTGAGGAGAGCCGTTCTCCATCACAAAAGATTATGACAAGCGTACCTCCAAGCCCTCATATGACCTCCTCCCCATTGCTGGTGTGACCAAGCCTGGTCCTGAGCTGAAGGGTATCCTCCTGGTCCTGGCCCTGCTGACCATTGCTGAGCATTGGGCGGGTAGTAGCCGGGGGGAGGGACAGGAGGAGAAGGAGGAGGATGACCACCTCCCATCTGCATCCCCATTGGTGGTGGTGGTCCGTTCCACATAGGAGACCAAATAAAACACTGAGGGGCTCAAATATATCATCAAAGTCTCACTCATCCTGACTCAAGTCCATCCAGTGCTGAAACACGTGTAAATTCCAGAAACATGTCAAAGCCTCCCAGACCGGTCGCTGTGATGATCTTCCTCTCCGTCAGAGGCCACAGTTTCCTCATTTTCACTGTCACCATCATCACCACCAAATTCATAGTTCGGCGTGTCATTGAAATCGACGAAATAGCTGTTAGGGGTATCTACATGCCGTAACTGCCTGATCAGGAGGTCTTGCTACTTTACTACTCTTAGCGCTCCACATAGCCTCACCAAGGCTCTGGACATCCTTCTTGTTCTGGATAAAGATCTCTGTGTTCCTCACTGACAGGTCTATCACTGCAGCTTCCGAATGCTCCAACAATGACCTGCATGAACGACGACCCTCCACATCGTTGCCCTTAGAGATCTCATTATTTCATAAGGAGAGTGAGTCAACTGAGCTCTACATGCATAGACATTCCGTCACTACCTCGTCTCTTGTAGATCCGCCGGATCGTTGAAATCAGTCTCTATAGGTTCATCATCATAATAGACTTCCTGCTGCTCGAACCTTCACAAGCCATGCCCGTCGTCACGAGCAGCGTTGTCCCCCTACTTCTGCCATTTAGCTCGCTGGCCTCTCATCTCGCTATAGGGATGTTCCAAGATGCTAAAGTCCTTCACTCTGAACCCAGCCAGCGGATCGAATCTTGGTACCTATGCTCGCCCATTAAAAGAGTCATCGTCATAGTGACAGCACCTTGAGAGCGCCATAAAGCTTCTGCGACCACTTCCATTTTTTGAACTCCAGAAAGTAGTCGCGTTGGCGCAACTCAGAATCCCTATCGGCAACCATTATCGACAGCATCCATGATAGAACTCCTAATGGACCTCACTTGAGCCTCTGCTTCTTAGCAGCCCATTCTGACACCCATCCAGGCACCTTATTCGGTACGGGAGCTGGCCGACCATCGGGAGTCGCATGCTTCGGAAGCCAGCCTCTCTGAAGTCAACAGTCTCCTTTACCTCGTGCGCATTATCCTTGCCTTTTTAGGATAGTTATTGATCTCAGCAATGAGCTTATGCAAGGCTTGCTCAGTAATGACGATCTGCCTGTATTTTAACAAGTTATATCTAAGCTCTATACATTCCCCAACAGCCGAGACACCTTCCATGTGATCACGTTGATACGCCTTCAACGTCCTCGCGTCTGACTTGTGCTATATGGGCAGTGCCCCAGCGGAAATTGTCATTGACATCACTAGTGCCAACATGGATCTGACGTTAATATAGTTCCCATCACCGCAGATGGGGTACTACCAAAAGAGCCGAATTGCAGTGCCGACCCAGGAGTCGGCGTAAATGGGCAGCGACATGCCGGGTCTTATGAGTACTGACGTTGAAGGAGTCAACAACTGTGATCTCTCCTTGCGCGAACTTAGCGCTCAACATCATCCTGTATGACAATGACCATTACTATCCCTCTCCAGCTCGAGTAAAGCGTTTTACAGCGACCGCTACGATGATAAATCACGCGCGCTTACGCGTGGAGGTCAACATTAGAGGATTGCTCTCAAGAGTATAACCCTACATCGGAAATTTCGGTGGACTACTTGATAAGACATGACTCCGATCATAGCATATGTATATTCCTGCAGTTTCAAAAAATACTGCGACAGACAGACACGAAGCGACAGGAACAAGTAGTGATTTACCCAGTACTGTGCTGTCTATGGTGAGCCTGTTATCAAAAGAGGCAATGCACTTCACCTCATGCTTACTTCAGTGACTTCCACACTCGCCTCTTCAGCTCTCCTTGCCGCCACTCCCGTGGACGTTGCGGAATTGAAAACACGCCATCGTACTTTCCTGGAGCCTTTCGCCGACCCATACGAGATTTGCCGATATTTTTGTGAGACCGCGCTTTCCTGATATAAGTAATGCACTCTGACGATTGGCGACCACGCCGAGCTACTTATTGGAACCTGGCCACTCCCATTTGAACAGCTGCATGTCCTGCTGATAACCAGCCATACATCCTCTATGCCACCAATACGTGAAATAAAGGATATCTTTCCGGATTGGCTCAGCGAATATTGAGTTCGGAACTACACCAAACTATACCAAACTTAGAGGGCGCTTTATTGAGCAAGAACAGCATGCAGTCGTTCCCGAAGACTATGCTGAGGAGTATCATGGCTAATGAGAAATTTACTAGTGAGCGACACCAAGGCTGAGGAAGAAATGAGAAACACGACTAAAGAGACAAGTTTGAGGCATGTCAAGATATGCAACAATCATAGTGATCCGCCCCGCTACTACCTATAATCGACCCAATCTCCTCTGGAGGGTCATCGCTACCAGCGGGTTCGCCACTAACAGGACATGTCACCTCGAATTTGTACCTACGGAACCGATTGGCATCTTGAGAAGGACGGAGAGAGTACACTGGCATCTCCAAAACTGCATTGAAACCAACAGCTGGGAAACTCCACCAATTTCGAAGGACTGTCCGTAGGTCAGCAAGCTCACCTAAAAGTCGACTGCATGATAGTAAGAGGACGACAGTGAGCAATACCTGGACGCCGGACCACTGGTGCGTCATGGATAGAAGCACCAGGCTCCGGTTCAGGAGGAGCCATCGGGCTGCCAGATGCCGATACTGCCCATGCAGCACTGGTACCTGTCACCCACCGATGGTATTGACAAGGTGAGTGCAAGCAGCAGCGTACAAGATCGGTAGATGACTGTGATAAGATGTACTGGATGAGGGGACCTTGTTGTGGTCCCTATACGTAAGGAGGGTATCATACCAAAGTAGAAGAGGAGAACCTCCTGGAATTCGGCATCAATACCTCGGCATGGCATGGCAGATATCCCTCCGATCGTGATATCTTATCGTGGGGTGGCATAGTTGCCCCACCCGTAGGAATTGATTTTATTGAAGCATTTCTTGGGTTGGCATAGCTGCCCCACCCGGAGGAATAGATTTTATTAAAGCATATCTTGGGTTGGCATAGTTGCCCCACTCGGAGGAATTGATTGAGCTTGGAGCTTGACTACAAAATTTCAAGGCGGTTTTCGCAACGCGTCAAGAATATGCTTCAATAACTACGGTACTGAATAATTGGAAGACTTTATAAAGGGGGAAATAATATTTCAAATATCCGATCCTAGTCGACAGTTTCGCGCGCGCCCTAATTGGTTCGAGCCACCCTTCCACTTCCTTGCGACCAATTCATGGATCGACCGGTGGAAGAACATAACTCTGCTGAGGACGCTGCCGGGCCTTTACTCGTGGACAAACCAGCAGACAGTGTAGTATCATGCTCGGGTCTGCTCGAGATTCAAATTTTTCCCCCACCCAGGCAGTAGCGGCCACTGGCGGTGACAAGTCGGCTCCAACTAAACGACGGCGACGAGTGTTATCTGGGTTCGACGTATATGTGTCTCTGACTTGTACTGTGTTGATGCTGGCAATAACAGCTTGGTACTATTGGAAGATGGTATCCATGACCGACCAGATGCAGAAGAGCTCTGTCTTCGGTAAGATACCATAGGCCTATTTCCTGGCAGGGTTGGACTCATCTTTTCAGCGAGTGTACATACAGAGTACGCCAGCTCCGACATACTAGATGCTATCCAGACGATTGAGGACTTCGTAGAGGAACATTCCCTCGATGAAGAGCCTTACTACGTCACTTTCCTGCGTCTCAAGTGAGTCCAGTTGCCGTTGCTGTCGTCAACTCGATGATGATAGTAGCTCGTCGATATTGATAGTACCCAATAGGTACTCCCATGACCCGAGGGGACGTCAATTGGACCATGCTCGCCGAAAGATGGTCAGTTGGTTCATGAAAGTCCGCTATTTTTATGATCTCGGCTATCTACCTGTGACCGACCCTAGCTATGTTGAAAAGATACCTGGGAAGTAGGCTCCTATCGTACCATGGACACATCGCAGGCTCCGTTCAGGGACCGAGCGAGATTCCTTTCGGAACTCGTAGGGCCACTCGATGATGCTGTGAGACTGTCAACGGGGCGAACACCAAGGTCAGTCTTTGAATTTTTCCGAGAAATGTAATGAAGAAATATGCTGCCAACTCGACTGTCTATGGACTCTTGTAGGTATTCCATTCCGTCGGAGAATTCTGTCTCTCATCTAACACTAGATAATCTGCCACCAGATCTCCGTAATATGAGCCTTACTGCCATACGTCAAGGAGTAGCATCAGCGCGACAACGGCGGCTTCCGACGGCTACACCTTCTATTATCGGAGGCCATAGCGACTCCTCTCATGGGGAGGAGTTATGACCTTTTATCCGATGTTTCTATACTGTAGGTTATGGTGTTCTGGAATGCTACGGCTATCGATCTGGACAATATCAGTGATTATTACCCTTCCCCTCGATGATCAATGATATCTCCATGTGCTTACCTCCAACGTTCACTATAGGAAGCCTCCTTGAGGAGCTGCGAGGTTCTGTGGATAAGTTGCATGTGGCTATGCTCTTGAGGGAGCTCTCCAAAATGATAAGGACGAATGCTGAGTGGATCGTTGAAGGGCCAATCGTTGCCGAGGTGACCATAGTAGCGCCGCCGCCGCCGGCGGCATTGCAGCTCTTATCAGCTCTGGTCGTGTGTAGGTTATTCTACAGCATGGTCTCTCTAAGTACCCACACGCTCTAGAAGTGTCTATACCAGTGTGCGAGATATTCCGTCACTACGCCTTGATACCATCTATGAGGGTATTCTTTCTCGAGACGGCTGTGGATGTAATAATCCTTTCGAATGATGATAGTGAACCATGACCGTGATCGACTCTCATAGACCTTTTATGGTCAGGCGCCCTATATCTCGGTCCTTACTCGTCTAGCTAGCGGCAATATGGTACATCCGCATAAAGCCAACCCTCGGTTGGTTATCGAAGTACTGGCCTTTCTGGCCAATTTATCGAGTGGTGCTGCCAACTGCGATATGGGCGCTTGGGCTGCCCTGGACGTTGGAGCTAGGGAGCTCGCCAAGAGGGCCTTTAGGGTGACTCTGGGTGGATATATTGATCGATTGTCTAACCTCACATTGACAGGTATTCCCATCAAACCTTGCAGTGCATGAGCAGTGTAATAGGGTACTGAGACTATCGGATGTGGTCATGACATCATGTGCAGCAGCAGCTCCTCCATCTGGTGGACTTGTCCATGCTTAGCTATATGTTGTTCATGAACAAATCACTCCAATGTTGCGTTGAAGTGGTGAGTTGTGATTCTCCCTTTAGTCGCCTTGTCTATTATATGTCTCTAGCTGTCTCTGCTACACGGCACACACTGTCGCGCTCACTGTGGGTACCAGCAGCAATCGTATGTGCCGACGGGCCTTCTCTACCCGCGGCAATCTCCCGTTAGATCGGGTGAGGAACATAGGTATATCAGCACATGTTGATTCGGGGAAGACCACGCTCACAGAGAGAGTATTGTTCTACACTGGTAGTAGTAGCATCGGCATTTGTGGTCGGTAGCATCACACCCTTTTGATAGGCCGGATTGATGATATTCACGAGATTCAGGGAGGTGACGGTGTCGGGTGCAAGATGGACCACATGGAGTTAGAGAGGGAGAAGGGTAAGTCGGGTGGTACTAGGGAGCTGCGAACCGACCTTAGGAATTACCATTACTAGTGCGGCTACCTATTGCCAATGGAAGACTAAGGACAAGGACGATTATCATATTAATATTATCGATACGCCTGGTCATGTTGACTTTACATTCGAAGTTGAGAGGTGTGGCTCTTCCGAGTCTTAGAGGATGCCATCGCTCTATCACTAGGTCACTTCGAGTACTCGATGGTGCCGTTATGGTGGTCTGTGCTATTGGCTGTGTACAGAGCCAGACCGTTACAGTAGACCGACAAATGCAGAGGTGGGTCTATTAGAGCCGTTACGTGGGAAGAAAGGCGGACTTAGGTATGAGGTACCAAGGATCATTTTTATTAACAAGTTGGACCGCTACGGTTCCGAGCCGTATACAGCATTGAAACAGGTAGTCCGTGAACAAGGGTGAAACCGTGGTAGGCGTGGCCCCTTAGTTGAAGACCAAACTGGGTCTTTGCGCGGCCCTAACTCAAATACCGTTGGGGGCTGAGGACAAGTTCGCTGGTAGGGTCGACTCTGTGATGGTGGTGATGGTGGTGGTGGTGGTGGTGGTCAGGCGTAGTGGATGTGATACGGAGGGAAGCACATCATTTCGAAGGCTACAAGGGCCTCTCGTGGAACACAGGAGAGGTATGTAGGTCTCGGGTAGTATGGTATTGTTATGGTCGATAGTTAGGTGCCCTCGAAGATGCTGGAGCAGGTTGAGGAGACTAGGAAGACCTTAGTGGAGTTGATGGCAGGTGGGATTGTTGTTGCTGATGATGGTGTTGATCTGTGATAAGTGTAGCAGATCTCGATGATGAGTTGGCTGAATCCTTTTTGATCGACGAGAACGTCTCTGCGGAGGAGCTAGAGAGAGCCATTCGCCGTCAGACTATATCTAGGAGGTGCGTGTGTGAGTCATTCGTGTCGACTTGAATGATTCATAGGTTCTGTCCGGTATTGCTTGGATCGGCATATAAGAATAAAGGAGTGCAGCCTCTCTTGGATGCTGTATGTAAGTACCTCCCCAGCCCTGGTGACAGGTAAGCACGGCAAGTAGTAGTGGATATGTGTGTTAGTATATTGTGAGTTGTGGATGAAAATCTGTCAGAGTCTACAGCGGCTATGATCAGTCACGTAATGGCGAGCGCGTTGAGATAACACCAGATGAGAAGAAGCCGTTCTTAGGTGGTCTTGGCTGTTAGCAGTGTGGTGGTGGCATGGAGTAATTGTATACAGGTATGGCATTCAAGAGTCAGGACCTACCTCCTAATGGTACTCTGACCTACATGAGAGTGTACCAGGGCACTCTAAAGAGGGGACAGAGTGTGTTGGACACTAAAACCAATAAACGGCAGAGTATTAAGAAGTTGGTAGGCTGATACATATGGTCAGATCGCTCCTATGGTCACCTACAGCTACGTCTACACTCGAGTGAGACTAGGGAGGTAGCTTCGGCTGGCCCTGGCGATATTGTGGCGTGTACTGGTTTGGATGTCTTCTCTGGAGTCACTTGTACTGATGGTAGGGAGTTGAGTGTATTTGAAGTGATCATTGGTCGATAACGTAGGGAAGATTAACTGGACTATGTCGCCATTGCATATACCAGCACCGGTGGTCTCGTTGTCTATTACTCCAGCTAGTCGAGAGGACTCAACCAAGATGGCTAAGGCCTTGGCTAGGTTCAAGAGGGAGGACCCTACCTTCATTGTATCGACGGATCCTGGTACAAAGGAGACTATAGTATCGGGTGAGGCATCCCATACCCGTTGTGGTGGTGGTTGGTGACTTATGTGTGGCGTGATGGTGATGGTTTTAGGAATGGGAGAATTGCATCTCTTTATTTATGCGGAGCGAATTCGTCGAGAGTACCACGCTAATGTTACTACTGGGGAGCCTAGGGTTAACTTCAGAGAGACCATTAATGAGAGAGTAATGGATCCGTAGTGGTTGGGTCTGGCGATGGTATTGGTCAGCGTAGGTGGCCTTTGATTACACTCATAAGAGGCAGAGTGGTGGTCGTGGTCAGTACGGTAAGGTTACGGGGTACTTCGAGCCACTGAGTCATGATGAAGTACAAGAGATTCTTACTAAGTATCAAGGAGAGATCACTCCTATGAATGCTTCCAAGTATCTTGCTATCTTCCAGAATAAAATAAGGGTGAGAAGTGGAGGCGCTGGGGATCGAACCTGCGTTGGAAGGCAGACATGTTAGCGTGGCGATATGTTGTTTTCTGTCGATTGTTAGGGTAATGAGATACCAAAGAACTTCATCGCGTACATTGAGAAGGGCTTCCGAGAGTGTCTGGAGGAAGGCCCTTTGACGGGCTCGGCAGTGTGCAATTTGCGAATAGTGTTGGAGGGCGGCAAGCATCATGAGGTTGATTCTTCTGAAGTTGCTTTCAAAGCAGCAGCGCAAGGGGCGTTCGAGCAGGCGTTCTATGGCGGGTCGCCGACGATTTTACAGCCAGTCATGTAAGATGGTAGAAATTGTGTGGTGGTTGAGGCTAGCGCTAGAGCTAGACTTAGCTAGTAATAATGTTAGGAATGTGGAAGTAACTGTCCCTACTGATAAAACCGGATCGTTGATGTCTGGTATCACGGTGAGGAAGGGCTTGGTCACGGGTTCAGAGGCACTCACGGATTTGGATACGCTGGTACGGGCGAAGGTGCCCTTAAGGAATATGTTTGGTTTTACGACAGAGTTGAGATCAATCACACAGGTGGGTGGGGTTTTAAGGTGGTGATGTATGGTATTGGGATAGGGTCATGGTGAGTGGGCTATGGACTTCCATGCTTATGAGGAGATGCCAGCTGATGACCAAGAGTCTGTTAAGAAGCAGTATGTCCAGCGACGAGCGAGAGAGAAGAAGCTCGAGGAGTGATCCTTACTGTGATACTATCGTTTCCGTGTGTCACCCCAACAAGGATGTGTGCATGAGGTTTCCGGGTAGCTGTTGCTGTTGAGTTGTGGCAGTCTCTAACTGATGTGTGTTGTGGTAGTTGTTCAGATTGCATTGGAAAGCGTCGTCGTTTACGACCTATTTGTTCCTTCCTCACTCATCTTTAATCCTCGCCATCGTCGTCGTTAAGCTACTATTAATACTACTACTAAACGTGTTCCTATTGTTGACTATGAAGGGCCATACTACAAGTAGACGAGCTTTGATCCCTCGTAACAGGTCAATAGAATCTGTTGGTGGTCCGGATTCGGCACTTATCATAGCGGGTGATATTGGTGGGACCAATTGCAGGCTACGACTTATGCTCGTATCGAAGGCCGACGACGACGACGGCGTTGCAGAGGAGAGTATTGGGAGTAGTACGGATTCGGAAAATGAAGAGGTAGTATTTCATAGGGCAGGTCTAGGGGAGATCATTTTTACTTCTAGCCGAAGACCGAGACGCAGTTGCTGTTCACAGCGAAGTATCCGACAGTTGAATGTCCTAGTTTTGAGGAGGCCCTTGCTCGGTTCATATCTGAGGCACCAGCACTAGAGGACGCCGATCTATCTGGGGTCGTCTGTGTGGTTGGATTGCCCAGTGATGTTAAAAACAATAAAGTTGGTGAGTTTACGGCTTTCTGTTATTCTGTGTTGGATTTGTTTGTTTTTCTATCAGCTCGAATAGCGAATATTCCCCATTGGGTGGACACTGATGGTGATGCCGTCGCGACAAAGCTCGGTCTTGGCAAAATCGTCCTCCTCAATGACTTTGAGAGTGCTTGCTGGGGTAATAATGGGTTGGTGAGAAACTTCTTTGTTATTTGCAATTGTTCTGAGGTATTCCTATGCTTAAAGAGTCCCAGCTTATATGCCTTAACCCTGGTATTCCTATCAACAAGGCGCGGACGTCTGCTCCAGCGATCACTAGCGTTCTTATTGGTCCTGGCACTGGACTTGGTGAAGGGTAGTGCTGGTGATGAGCACACCGTTGGTCATTAATGCTCATCAGTTACTTGGTCACGGCTCGAGCAACGAACCATGTGTCGGCCCATGCTTCGGAAGGTGGCTGGGTGAGCTTTTCCCCACAAGATGAGTAGGCTTGGTCTGTTGGTAGAGGCCAGTCGGCATTGCCGTGTTGATCAGGGAGGAGTTCAAGCTAATGCAGTTTGTGAAGAAGGACTTGGGCGTTGAGCGAGTGGTCGTGGAGCACTTGACTGCAGGGTGAGTACCAAGGGCTGTTAGGTCCTTATCGTGTTGCATTGAGTTATCTCAGGCCTGCCTTACCTATGTTGGCTCGCTTCTATGGACAGGAGGAGGGTATGGACATCAACGACTTGCCTAAGACTGCTCCTGAGGTGGCAGGGAAATACGGGAAGTGCTCGGTCTGCACCAAAGCGTGTGATAAGGCTATGGAGGTCTTGGGACGGGAGCTGGCTTTCTTATGCTTGAAGTTCAAACCCCAAGGTGGCATATTCCTCATCGGCAATGTCGTCGACTCACTGAGGGATTCTATATTGGCTGAGGACTCGAGCTTAAGGAGGGGTCTCTTTCATAGTCTGCACCACTCAATTCTAGAGGGTATCGTTAATGACACTCCCATCAACATAGTGAATGTCAGTGGCGTGAGTATGGGCATGGAAGGGGCCATCAATAGGGCCACTCGTCTAGCATTAGCTCGATTGTAGGCATTCTCCGTTTTCAAACAGAAGTGGCGCATTTTTAGGGCTGCTGCGCATTAAGATTGTGTTGTTGTTGTTGTTGCTCTCGTCATCGTTCCATTGTAAGGTAGTAAGATGTAGATAGGCGGCCTTTCCTGTTACCCAATTGTAGACCATTGTATATCGTTCTGGTTGTTGACTTGCGAGGGGCAGGTGACAACATTCTCATACCCCCTATTGTAATTATTGTTAATCATCAATCGATTCAAGAGTGATGATGACCTATTAGTGCAGACGAAGCCCTTGTGCGGTATGTCACCACCAATGGGCGTGCTATCTTAAACTGTCCTTTTCTCTCGAACATTGCAAAGTTCCTATACCCTCTGGTCTGCTTAGCGTTGGGGGTGGGATTACAAAAGGGAGACACGACTGGAATAGTTCAACTGCTGGACAACGTGGTCAACTGCTGGACAACGGTATGGTAACAGTTGGTGTTATCTGTTCAAGTTTAGCGTAGCTCTATCATGGACTCGAGTGAGGATCGAGATTGCTCAGCCTCCATCGCCGTCACCGGAGAGACAGCTTCAGCTGGGAAGACAGGTGTTGAAGAGGTAGAGGATGTCAAGGAGACGATCGTGCCAACTGACCTGCTTGGTAACAATGATCCCACTATGGATGATTCGGTAGTTAATGAGGAATCTGCTGCTGCGGAGGGAGGGAAGAAGGACAAGAGAGGGGTCGTGTATTTCTCGAGGATACCGCCCTTTATGCAAGTGAGCTTTCATAGTGTGTAGACTCTTCGTTCACACCTTATGTGTTTCAGCCTTGTAAGCTTCGGCACCTGATGGAACAGCTCGGCCGAGTTGGTAGAGTATATCTCACCCCCGAGGATGAGACACAGCAAGCCCGGCGTAAGAAGACTGGTGGCAATAAGAAGACCAAGTTCGTGGATGGTTGGGTCGAGTTTGAGAGCAAGTCGGTGGCGAAGCGTGTGGCAGCGACATTGAACAATACGCCAGTGGGAGGCAAGAAACGTCATAATGCCTATAGGGACGATATGTGGCTGTGTCGGTATTTGCCGAAGTTCAAGTGGCATCACTTGAAGGAACATGTTATCTACAATAGGGAGGTCCGTGGGGCCCGACTGGAGCAGAAGCTCTCACAACAACGTAAAATAAACAACTTCTACCAAGAGATGCTATTGGAGGAGAAGCGTGTGGATAAGATGAAGGAGCGTCGAGAGAAGAAGGCAGCTGAACAAGGCGAGGAAATGGTCCAGCCTCCTGTACATAAGAAGGCGAGGACAGGCGTCCACCAGCGAATGCCTCATACAAGCTCTCAGATCAGTGCGACGACGACAAGGAAGCAACGGGAGGTTTCTTCTGACGCATTACTTGATAGTCTAGCTCTCTAACTTACTGTACATTCTCATTATGTTTGAGTTGATTAATCATGCTCAGACTGGGTATGGTAGAACGTTAGCCCCGTTTAGTTCGCTGTTACGTTGTTGTGGCTTTGGACCGATGCGCCGAAGATGATGTATAGGCAGGCTCAGGTTTATTTAGGGTATATGAGTCACTAATACGTCGATATTGGAGTTCCCTGTTGGTGATTTCGACTCGAAAT